TAAATGTCTTAGAGTTTTAGATACGGATTAAAGAGAGTTCGGATTAGAGAGGTTCGGATTAGAGAGAGTTGACTGTAGTTTTAGTCTATATAATAAAAGATAATATATAAGAAATTCGTTATTTTTTCTATAAAAAAAATAATAAAATGTAGTAATTAAGTCACCTTTCAGGATCGCCCTTAACATATCTTGGTAGATTTTCTATATCGTAATTTAATATCAATTCAATTTGCTTATTTTCTGCATCTTTTACGAACAGTTCAATAACTTTTTCAAATAAATTCAATATATCAAACGTTGTATTTATTGAAGTAATTTTATGCACTTCTAATTTTGCCACATTAAGAATGTCGCTAACTGCAGTATTAGCTACAGTTCAGTAATACAGAGTCAGTAACGTGTTGCAGTATGACAATCATGTCTTTTTGATCATCAGTTAGAGTTGAATGATCAATAAAAGAGATAATCCCTATTATTGCTCCTAGTGGCGTTCGCAATTCTTTGATAATATTGCAATAATTAATATTAAATTTAGTATTACACAATTTGCAAGATAACAACAGTTTAAATTTTATACTGTACCATGGGAAATATTTGCTAATATTTGATTTTTGGTTTCATTTGCAATAGCTTCAGCTTTTATTTGGATCTCTTTTTCTAAATTTCTTCCATTAATGTTTTATAAGCAATAGCTAAACTTATTCGATATGATATTTGTTGTAATAATTCTATTTCTGAATTAAGCCAAATAGAGTTTGAAGACCGATGTAATCTAATCCATCTCCAATAACCATCATTCATTTTTATTCTCGCGGATAGCATGGAGACATTTTTGCAAGTATCGGCACAATATGTGTTTAGCGAAATTTTACTCCAGAATTATTATTATTTAAAAAAGGTTGTGAATATAAATTTTATGAATGTAAATTTATAATTTCTTCGTCCTGGAATGATTCAGCTATTGGTGTTATACTATCAGTATTCTCATGTAAAGCAGCCAATGTACCATTCGAAATAGATAGCGTATGAAACAATAAATATTCTATCGCATGGTAATATATTATGGATCTCTTTTATAACGTTTGAAAGCGTTTCTATCAAATCAATTCCAGATTGAATCATTTCTGAAATTGTAAGTATAACTTGCTTAATTTTTTCTTGTCTACGCTCTTGGAATAATATTTATGACGAAGATTTGAGAGTTCGATATTATCTCGTATACGTGATATTAATTCTCGAGAGGAAAATGTTATTTTTAAATAATCATTTGCTCCTTTATCAAACCCTATAATAAATACATAAAAAAAAATAATAATTACTCTTTTTTTTTTTTAAAAAAAAAAAAAAAAATTAATTATCTCAGTATAATACCTTTGATGCTAGGTTCTTCTCCAGCCTTTGCAGTTAATAATATCACAGGAATTAATCGAGTTTTTATATCAGATCTTATCGTATCTAATAATTTATATCCATTCATATTTGGCATCATAACATCTGTTAAATTTAATTAGTTAATATGTATGAACAATAAGTTAAAACAGAAAATATTTGTAATTATGGATCAATTTACCACTAAGAATTAGGTCTGGCAGTTTATCAAGCTCGAATTGCATCTTGACCGTTACAAGCACAAAGTATGTTAAATTCTCCTAGCAAATTTGATAGATAATTTCTATTCCAACAATAGGAAAAAATCAATTGATAAAAATCCCATAGAAAAATTGTAATTAAAACAAAGTAATAATATTATTACCGCATGTCAGCATTATCGTCAACGATCAAGATTTGGTATTTTTTACCGACAATAGTAGAAAAATTGTCCGTAGAGAAAGGGACACGACATCATCTAATTTATCAATATCTGTTTGACTATCACTTATTAATTTTTTATTTATCATATTATCTTGCATTGAAGATGAATAATTTTGTATCCATTGCGAATTTTCTTCCAAATAAAGTTGTTTTGAATATTTTTGATCGTTACTCGTTAGACAATTTTCCACGTTATTATAACATATTTGATTTATTGATAGGTGTTTACATCCTGTTGGGAACCAACATTTAAATGTCGTTCCTTGATTGACTACGAAGGTAACAGTTATATCTCCCCCATGACGTGTAATAAATTCTTTAATAATAGCGAGGCCAATTCCAGCACCTTCATAACTGCGAGAACTTTGGGATTCTGCAATAAAAGCACTGGAATATATTTGGAATTCCACACCTAAAATAATTTATGCTAAAAATACATGTATATATATAAAGGCTGCAATAATTTTTTTATGAAGCAAGATTTACCTGTATTTGATACTTCCAAAACTATCATTTTCCGCTCATTTTTATGACCAGGATATAAGCGAACGCAGATGCGTCCATTCCAAGTGTGCTTTATGGCATTTGGACCTTTAAACAAATGAAATAGAGCATTAATATCTTAGCATAGTAAATTTCGCACGTCTTTTTTTTTTTTTTTTTTTAGAAAAATGCTTACAAAGATTGAATACAATTGTCTCATAGATAAACTTTATCATTCACAATTTGAATAAATTCATCTGGATTTGGAATATCAATGATATATTCTAGACCTAATTTGTTTTGCTATGCTTTCAAAATTCATGCCCAACTCCCGAGTAAGTTTGGCTACATTTGTTTCATAAAAACGTGCCTCTAATTGGCCGGATTCTATGTTTGAAAACTATACATAAAATTAATAAAAATTCTTGAAATCTGATACATTTTTAAACTTTAACATTATGACATTATTATTGATTACATAAATATAAATTTACCTTACGCAACCGACAGCTATTACGTCATATTATTTGAAGATATGAATTCATTTGCGTATCTTGTGAGCATGTATTAATTAGTTCATCAAGTGGTGAAAATATTAGGGTTAATGGTGCTAATATAATAGCAAAAAATATATATCAATAAGACCACTGTATTTGTAAGTTTTTATGAAATATATTTCAAGAAAGAATTTTATAAATTCAATACTTTTCAGTTCGTGACTTATGCTTTGGAAAAACATGTCTTTCTGATGATTCAAATCAGCTAGTATTTTTGCATGTCTCCTTTCTTCTTCTATTGACATTCCATGCACAAAAGCCTTATTCACATAACATAAAACTAACTAATAATCATAATTCGTTCATTGTTAATTAATGAAAAATTAAATAATTAATATTTTAGATTTGCTTACTTTATAAAACTCCATATATTTATCATCAAGTTTGCGAAGTGGACTAATACCACAAATCAATACAGCTGATAAGTTTCGTTCATTGCAGTATGTAAGTTTTGTGGGTAAAAGAATTGCCTGAGAATCATTTTTTAAAAGAACTTGAATGTGGTTTTCTTCCTTCATTACAAGATGGATGGGCCAACAATCACATCTTAAGAACGAATAAGTAGATATTAATTGTTTTACTTCCATATAAGTGTCATAATCCTGATCAGAGAATTTAGTTAAATCAATCATTTCAGGTGTTTCTGGAAAATAATCCGGAATATGTCTTTTTAATTTCTCATGAATATCTTTTTTACAGACTTCATCAAAGGTTGTAGCTACTAAACGAGCAACCATAGAATTAAAGCCAGCCTTTGGCTCAATAAGATAAATTAACGCATACGGAATATCTTTAATGCTCCCGTTATAATTTGCCATGCACTTTCCAAGGATACAGCATCTTAAAAAAAAATGTAGACGTGTTATTAAATACGTCGCAACCTTATGTGATATTTACGATTTACTACTCGGCAGTATGATGTGAAAGTTTATCAACAGTTCTTAATCTTCGATCATTTACGACTTTTTGAGTAGTTTCAGATGTTAAATTAATTATACCCAGACAGTACCATCTAATTTACGAATTGGAGAAAATGCGTAATTGATGTAAATTTCTTTTTTATAATCATCACGATATGTTTCCAAATAGAAATCATGCCCATATATGCCTTCGCCTGATTCTCTTACTCTGCATAGAATTAAGCAAAATTTAAATATTACATTAATAAAGTTTAATTCGTTCAATAATTATTAAAAATACCGGTTTTATGGATGCTATTTAATTTAATAACGTGGCATAATTTAGCCAGGATTAATATAATTGTATGGAAGTGAATTATATAACTTACCGTGAGGATGCTTTAATTTCATCATTGGTATTGACGCTGTATGAACGATACGATTATAACCAAGTAAGCAAGATCAAAGATTAATTACCTTCATTGTATATTGTAATCCAGTTTGGACCCATATATATAAACGTGGGTAAGCTGGATTTTAAAGCATAACGATAAATTCTTGGCATTTACAGGTAATTATATAAATTCATGTATGGATTTCATGATCTAAAAGTATAGCAAATTACCAGAAAAGATATAATTTGAGGTTCCCATGAGTCGATAGGACCCACTGAAGTCGATGACCAATCATAATTATAGAATAAGAAGGCTTGAATTCTCATTATTGCTAACGCTGTTGTTTAAAGATGATGTCATATAGTTATAAATGAATGATAATGCTACAAAATAAAAGAGTCGATAAATTGTTTATATCAAAATATAATTATTATTCTAAACTCGCAAAAATTAAAGCAACAAGTTACGTATATAATCACACTTACAAAACACACTTGACTGTTTAAAATTATTTGTTTAAAATTTATTCTTGAACAAATATATATGAATATATGGAATTTTAATTTTTTACATGTGCATTAATAATCAGCTTGCATAAGATTTGTACAAGATTTGTACACATAGGAGATATAGAACGAATTTGATTCATTTTTCCCACCGCCTGAATAAATGGACGACGATGTCGCTAATTAGACAAAATTTATTACGTAACTACACAGTAGTATATTAGTCATCGAGTGACATTGTAATGATACAAAAATTTGTGTATACTGTTTTGGAGAAATTTTTACTTTTGTATACGTTTCGTTTTTACCTCTATTAACACTTTTTTTTTCAATTTCGTATATGTAACAAGTAATACATGTTTTTTTTTTTTATTAATAAACAACGTAGTTTAACCGGGTTGAAGGCACAATCCTTGACTTTATCAGCGTTCAATACTGATTAAAGTTTTTAATAATATAAAAAATTGTAAAAGAAATTGGATTTGACGCTAATCGTTATATTGGTATTAGATATCCAGATAATTATCCGGAAATGATCAGATTATAAGATAATTATCTACATATGACCGAATTGATCAG